GGGGGGGGGAGTGGAAAATAAAAGGTCTTCACTGGCTTCTTCGACTCGCCCCTTTACTCGGTAATGGGACGTATGAAATCACCAGGTGGTAATGGACTCGGGGTGAAATAATTTTCTCAATCGGTTTTAGAAAAGTTTACCCCCGGGGTAATAGCCTGACGTGTTCGAAGACATTGCCGACGAGTTTTTGGTTGATTTTTCTAATAGGAGGGTACGGGTCATTTTGGGGGGAGGGGATCGGTTCAGGGGGGCGATTCGATTGAGGAGGTGAAGTTTTTTAGGAGAATTTATTGAGAATTAATTTTTTCTCTATTTTTTAAAGGTAATTGTTTCTTTCGGTTTTTGTGTTTGAATTAAAAATTTGAGTCTAGGGGGTATTGATAATTTTTCGGGGGGTTGAAGTGACTGATGACTTCATCTGCAGGATTTCGAAGAGAATGAGAGGTACGACTGCGATTAACATAGTTGCTGATCATATTATCATACTTAAATAAAGAAAAATGATGAATTTTGAAAAATCAATGTTTGTTAATTTTTTTACGAGACATTTTGGGGGGAGGGGGCCATTTTGAGAGGTCGATATTGTTGAGAAGAAGGTGAAATTTTTTGTAAATAATCAAGAATTAATTTTTTTCAGTGATAATTTTTTTTGGTTTTCTGTGTTTGAATTAAAAATTTTGGTCTAGGGGGGATTGAGAATATTTCGACGTGTTAAAGTGCCTGATGACTTCATCTACAGAATTCTGAAGAGAATGTGAGCTGCGACTGTTGATAACACACCTACTGATGATAATATCCTACTCGAATAAAGAAAAATTCTGCATTTTGAAAAATCAACGTTTGTTTATTACCTCTGAAATTTGTAATTACCTCTGAAATTAGCAAGTTTAGAGAGAAATATGTAAAAAAGTTTCTCGAAAATCCTCGAATTCCTGCCAATAATTATAATTTTTCATTTGAATCTCCCCCTCGCAGAGTTATTTTCAAAATAAAAAAACTGCAGTATAAAGTAAAATCCTAATTTTTCAAATTATTCCGCAATAACTCTGGAAATATCTCAATTCCCGAATTTAATTGTGAATCTCAATGAATAGAACGTTACAACTCCAGATGCAACATCGACTCTCCCTCCCTAAGCGTCATAATGAAAGGCTGACTATTGCGTCACATTACACTCGTCCAACTCAGTGATGCCAGATGAGGGGAAAAATCCCACGCGTGGGAATTTCGTGCGCAGCTCCCTCGCGCACTCCTCGGGTCCCCGCCACTACCGCACAGGCTCAACGCCCGTAAATAATACCCGATAAATTAAATTCCGCGATGGAACTGTCAATTAATTAATTAAAAGGAATGAAATTGATGGTATTATTATTTTTTCAACATTTTAGTTATTAATAATATTTAATAACAATGGAGAGCTCAGTTTACTGTTAAAAATTCTTTAAAAATTGAGCAAAAGTTTGATAAAAATATTGAAAGTGAATTTGAAATCGGTTTGGGATCAATTCGTCTATGAAATTGCTTATCCTAT